GCCAAACCACATTTTTTCTTTTTTTTTTTTTTTTTTTTTTTCACCACAACCACTTTTACCTGCACTGTCGACACTTTTATCACCAAAATATCACCCCATCGGCAAACTTTACGCACAGGCCGACGTAATAACAATACTGTTTATGTTGCTGTTGTTTCATCCTTTGCAAAAATACAAGTACACCAGTCAGAGTTTTTCCACCGTTGGCGGGTAGAGCTTCGAGATTTTCTCCCAGTACCGGTCGGCCGCTCTTTGGCGCTCTATGATCTATGCACGCGCGCTTATATTTACTTACTATAATTATCCGAGCCGTTCGAGCACTGCAGTGACATGAGCCCAGAACCCCAATCATTACGTGTGCCCACTCACGTAATTATCATCATCATCATTGGGTCCTATCGTTGCAATAAGTACCACTTGTATATTTTTTTTTCGACGTGCTCCCCTGACTGTCCTATCCGCCACACTGGCTGCCTCTCGGAATTCCCGCAAGCGCGCGCCCGCCTTTTCTCTCTCTCTCTCGGCTTCGTTCAGCGCCCCGCGGCGGTCGATCGCTCGCTCGGCAGTGCTCGCACTCCTCCGCCTCTTCACTGCGTCCGACGCTGCAATGTCCCTCTATATACTTATACCTACCGCCAATTCTGTACACCATACCTTATACAAGGCTCACGATTTGCCCCGCCGAATTATGAAGCTGAAGCTATAGCCGACGGACGGACTTAGCCGTTGTACTATACGGAGCACCCTTTAATAAATTTTCTTTTGCAAACCATACAAATATGAAGAATAAGTAGCTTTTTCTGAATTATCAATACCAAATACCAATAACTAGATAATGTCAGGTACTTAAAACGGTTATAAACAATGATATTCAATGAATAAATAATCAAAAAAGGGGAAAAAAAAAGTATTCTACTAAGAGATCTCTTACAAGTTCCTTCCAGATCATAGGATTGCCCTGTAAATTCGCACAGTTTATCTCTATGTACCTACCAAAAGTATCTAATAAGTTTAGACTCGGCAGAAAAGTTAATGATAATCTTATGAAATAAATAAATGGACGAAATATTCGAAAAAATCAAATTTTACGCTCCGTTGGGATGCTTATAATGGACCGATTAATTTACACACGCATATATTTATGTACACATGATGGCCCAAGTGCGATCCTTGGCTTTCTTTATTTTTTTTTTTCTCATTCCTCGGAGGTACATATATCCGTTGTAGTAAGCTGTAAGTATAAATCACGCGAACTTAAGGTTTGCCGGTATGATGATATTAAGATAACCCAACACCCTTTATAGACACACAGGCACAAGTCATGTAAGATACTTGAACCTTGAAACTCAGCCAGTTAACGCGAGCGATGTAGGTACATAGCAGAGTAGAACAAACAACAAAAATCCGTGTGCATGAGACGGGATAATAGGAGATACCAAACCATATATATATATATATATCCCTTGGGATTCACGATGCCGAGAAAAAAAAACCTTTCGTTCTTTGGCTTGCCTTTTCCTTGCTCCGCTATACCTAGGTAGTACTTGCTCTTCTCTCGATTTTTCACTTACTTACTGGTGTTGCCGTGACGCTCGCGACCTTTATTTATTTTTCCCCTCTACCCCGTTATTTTTATCTCGCATTTTCCTGTTTAACGAGGCACATCTACACCTATACTATGTCTCTAAATTAAAACTACCAATAACCCAACAACCCTCGTGGTTTGTTGAGTGAAAAAAAAAACCCTCCGACTTTAACACTCCCTACTTCTCAGTTTATTGATGCAAAGGTTACTTGTGCACTATTATTACTAATTTTGAAGCTAGGGAGACTTCTCTCCCCACATTGTAAGGGAAATTTTGGGCGCGTCGTGATTGCTTTACGGGGATTATCGTATATTATGTAACCGCAGTGCTTTTGCTCGCATTTATTATCGGTCGTTTAGGCTCGCGAGGGGACAAACATTGCGGATCTGCAGTCTGTCCTCTTGACGCTACTTAACCCACGAAACGGCGAAATGCACGGCTCCGTTCGTTTTAACAAAGCTCAAAGTTCTGAATCCCTTATAGTATATCTTAAGATATTTCGGGCTTGCATAATATATACTTACATTACTATTATCACAAGACTACCATCATACTTATTGTAAGGTGTTTTATTATATTAACTTGTTTTTGGTAATGTTACCTATATTTGGTAAATTAATTAACTCACGAATACATACATACATACATATGCACTCAACCAAATGTCTGTGATTTTCTTGTGCAACAATTTTCATGAGTGAATATTACATCTACGTGTCTATCTTCCTCTGGCTCTGACAGAGGGGTCGAGATAAGCGCCCATATATAATCTTTCTGCTGATGTTCTCTCTCCATGTCTTTACACACACACATGTAGATACTGTTACTGTAAGTTAAATGCGTCAAGATGTCTCCCTTACAGCTCAATAGAGATGGATGCAAGTATAACTTGTCCAAATCTATTTCGAGATTTGCAGTAGTTCGACAAAAGTAATAACAATAACAATAATAATAATAATAATAATAATAATAATAATAACAACAATAATAACAATGTACTACAGTTTCTCGGACTCGTCTGTTTCGCAGTTGTTTCCTTGAGAAATGCAGAGTCATATTTGCCTACTGTACTTACATATTGTGGTGAATCTGCATCTGGTACCGAGAGAGAGCAGGTGAGTAAAATAAAATCGAGTATACATATAATCGGCTTGAGTTAAAAAAATTTAATTTTATAGTATTTGAAAAATATAGTATTTTGTTTGTACAATTTTTTTTTTTTTTTTCACAAGTTAAAATTAAAATAAAAAAAAAAAAAAAATTCTCCTTTTACGAATAATTTTATGTTTCACCCCTAAAAAAGGATTTATATTTTGAATAAGACCTTTGACCAATTTCAATGAGACTTGCTGATCTCAAAGTCATGCAAAGCCACAATATAGCACCGAATTCAATAATACTTTTGTGCACGCTCAAAGGCAAATAAAAGATTATCGAAAAAGATGGAACAAAAACGATGGGTAATACTTAATCGACAGCTGCCGGCGACACCAAGAACCGAAAGTCAAACACCGTGTGTGTGTGCAGTTGCAGCTCTGCAGTCTGCAGTAAATTGCTTGCCTGCAAACAGTCAATAGCGCTGCCGGAACATAAATACCTACTTAGGCTCTGTCCCAATCAGGTATAATAAACGCATCTCCACATCATGCAGCTGAATCGCATAGCGAATAGCAAATAAAGATAGCTTTCTGCTTGCACTCGTTGCGCAATGTTTTTATGGATGTACCTACCAACATAGGTAAAACTTGTCTCCCACACAATCACCATTCGTCGTAAAGGCACGACTCGTCTCATCGTTATTTCTTCTTCTTCTTCTTCTTCTTCTATAAACTATACTTGCCATAGTATAGATTTTCGTTTTATTTGATTTATTTAACGATTTTATAAATTCATCGACACTTTCAGTCCTGCTCTCCCCTACTTCGAACTGCGAACGCTTGAAAAGTGTGTTTTACCCTGCACTACACCCTTTAAGTATATATGCTTACGTAATTATACATAGAAAATGTAATTATAATATGCTTTTTAGCCTAAAACTATTAGTTTGCTGTTGTCAATAATGAAAAAAAAAAAAAAAAAAAAAATACATCAAGTCAAAATAATACTTACAATGTAATTAATTATATTATATATTTGAATTGATTTCAGACGAAATTAACCAGTTGCATTGACCAATCATTCAAGATGCCTGGTCATGACTTTTCCTTTGATTGCATCACAGGCCATAGGTAAGTAGATTTTAGATGATTTAATTTGGCTTTTTTTTGCCTTTTTATTCTCATAAAGACTATATAATTATGTATCGATAACGATAAAATTGCCCATCATTATGATAATTGAAATCAAGGTAAGGTGCCGTTGTTTTTTTTTTTTTTTTTTTTTTTTTGACTAAACTCTGAACTAGAAAACGTGAGAACCATAAGTACTTAGGGTAGTCAACGATTTTCTTGCTTAGCGCTCTTCCACATATTATTAATCATGTATTACAATAATGCAATGGAGACACAATACAACGTGGACGCAGGCCTGTGACTATTATAAAAAAATACTTGCTTGTTGTTGAATATATTATAAGTAACGGAGCAGAAAAATAATGAATCCATAATGACTCAAATTAGACTAGAAGCAAATTTATATTTATTTACAGATAGAAGCCACTTCCCGTTTGTAGGTAACAGATTTATAATAGCTAGTTTAGTAAAACGATTTGGCCCCATTAAAAATTCGACATCTACAAAGCTGTCAAAAAAGCGCTCTTTCAAGGATTGTTTTGAAAAATTTACTATGTCAAACGTCCTGATGCTTTACTAAGACAGTTAAATATCTATGCCCGTTTCGTTTGCCTTAATAAGAGTAGTTTTTAATTTTTAAGTACGCGACGATTTTCTGGAGCCATTGGTTTTCAGTACAAACTTTTATTTTAGTTTTTTGTGTGAATTATATATTTATAGTACCTGGTCATGATAAATATTTTAATCCGCATATTTTCCCAACACAGACAACTACTGTCTCGACTTGTGTTGCGTATCCGCCTTGGGAAGGGTACAAGTAGCACCTCTTTCGGCATCTGATGAAACCAAAATAATGTAGGTAAACTTGAAAGCATTAATGAAAATAGGGCAATTTTACAAATTTTTTATCTAACTAAGGTTCCGTATTGTTTTAGAAGGGCGCTACTTGTTAATGTTATATATACCTTTGATTTTTAGCTACATATGAATATATTATATTTATTATTTTATTATCAAATTTTGTGTGTGTGTGTTGTTCAGGTCAAGTTAGGATACTTGGGATAGAGAGAATTGAGAGAGAGAAAAAGAAATATACTTATAAGTAAGTACCTATAGGCAAACACAAAAAAAATATGGCCGCGCCATGTGAAAAGAGGAAAGGACGTAGATAACATAGGTACGTGCATGTGTGTACATTTGCCTGTCGACGTGTTTCCCATCATTTTTATTATTTTTAACGATTAAGTATATATTGTGTACTCACGACATCAGTGTAGTGTGTACGGACTGCTTGACAGTGAAATAAGTGATGTGTATAGATTATGGTATAGGAAAAAAAAGTGTGCGTCAGCTACTATAGCTCTGTCTTTGTGTTGTTCTCACCGTTTTACATTCGAGGTTCGACTGTTTATCGGGACTTTGGATAGTTGGGAATTCATCTCCACTTAAACATTCCATGTCCAAATACTCATGCGTTACAAGTAGTTCTGTTAACCTCTTTGTTTTTCTAGCCGTGACCTCGACCCCCCCGCATCTGTTGCTTATAGGTACACTCGTCAAACAAAACTTACAACGTAATTCCTTAGAAAACAAAGGTTATCCATTTTTCCCCATAACGTTAAACTACCCTTACTTGCATACCCCATTGCGCAATATATATAAAAGATAGCAGACCCAGTTACAGATCCACATCGAATCTCTCATGTTAGCTCTCGATCTCATGCGAGGTTGTACGGTTAGGACGACGAGCATCACAAGAAAAACGACGAGGACGCCAGCTTGGAAGAGTACGAGGAGAGTACAGGTAACGCGTAATTCAACCCGCTTAGGCCTGCTGCTTGCCTTTGCTGGTTTACTCATTCTCTCTCACGTAAACAAAACATGTTCGCTCTCTCCATCCCATCATTACCTTATTGCTTCTTTGTTTGCCTTGAGCGTTTCCGACCCAAGTCATGGAATGAAAGACCCCGTGGACAACTCTGTATAATATATACCACGTGGTGTAAAATTTCGAGTTCAAATATCATTGGATCCCAGTTGTCGTTACGACGGTCACTTTTTCTCACTCAATTTTTGTGCCTACTTTATTTTTTTTTTGTTTCAATATGAATCCCGTTTGAGTACATGTTTTATTGTTAAATGCATACATTTACCGTGTACTTGTGTAAAACTTTCTTTTTTTAACTTTGCTTTACATCATTATATAATTTATCAGGCACATGCATTCATTCATTCACCATTGCTCTTTTTTTCTGTGAATATTACATTTTTATTATGATTATATTTCTTACACATCAGGCAATAACATTAACTCTTGTTCATACATATAGTATTTTTTGTTTCTACTTATTTATTCACTTTTTTTCGTCGGTATTTTTTGTTTCATTCTTTATTACATGTCATTTGTTTATTTATTTTTATTTTTTTTTATTTTTTTTTTTAAACACTGAAAAAATATTTAGTAAATAATTATACCTATCGTGAGGAGGACAAGGGATGGCCAACGAGTTGTCAAGTAGCTGCCCACAAGCCAACGAGCTTGTGGATGATGAAAAAGAAGAGGGAGAAATATCTCTTGATGATGTCAGTTCTTCTGAAGAGGGGCAACCATACAACCCATCAAAAGGGTTGGCCAACTGTTGCCCTCATTGCAAATCAGTGAAGACATGTGCCACCTGGTGTGGTAACCTTATAACTTACCATATCAATATTAAAAAAGGTGAAATCTTGTTTAAATCTTATAAGCTGAATTTAATTATCCTAACAAATTATATTTCCATGTATATATAT